AATGAATGTTTGTGGCTTACCCTCCTTGTGAAGGGTGTCAATGATTGGCTTCTGGACAACTGTCAGATCAGCAGTCTTCCCCATGATTGTGTAGCCTAGTGAACCAAACTGAGAGACCATTTTGAAAACTCAGGAAACCTTTGCAGGTGTTTGGAGTTGATTAGCTGATTGGCATGTCACCATATTCTAATTTGTTGAGATAGTGAATTGGTGGGTTTTTGTTAAATGTGAGCCAAAATCATCACAATTAAAAGAACCAAAGACTTAAACTACTTCAGTCTTTGTGCATTGAATTTATTTAATACACGAGTTTCACAATTTGAGTTGAATTACTGAAATAAATGAACTGTTCCACGACATTCTAATTTATAGAGATGCACCTGTACTATTCTTAATTGGGTATCATGATTTGATTAAACCTTATCATTCAGCTGAACTGTGCACAGTTTATGTTCTTGCTCCATCCATGAATTAAATGCACATCCTTTAATGAGCAGGGTTTTCTAGAATGTTTGATTTATATGCTCGGGTAATGACAACCGTATGACCCATTTCAGGGGTATTTTAAAATCAGAATATGAGCATAGCTCACTTACAGTCACTGAAAATATTGAAACAGCAGCGATACTAATTCAACACACTATCATAAGCGGCAATGAGCAGCAAAGCTCTGGCTTAACTGGCCACTTCAGACTGAGTGCTGGGTCAAAAGCCAGCTCGCCCCTGTTGCTCAGGCAGCACTGCATCAAATTATAGTGTTTTTGTGCCAGGTGGGAACGTTTATGAGTAGCATTTACAAAAATTGTTTAAGGCAAAACAACACTCTTGTTGGGAGATGCAACTGTTCTGCCTCGTTTGGAATGTTTCTTGGTGAAATAGAGCAAAAACAGTCTAAATGTACAGTGGTGTGTCTAAAACATTTTTAAATGAGTATAATTAACTTATTGTTTATTAAACTGTTGTGTAAAATGAATATCACACTAGTAATCGTGCTGATATTTGGGAAAAAAGCACATTTTCTCATGTGATATAGCTTTACTGTATTCTTTTAAAAACAAAAATAAAAACTCGTGTAAATACATGACAGTTCATATCTTGAATTTTGGGGGTCTTTTTTATTAAATTTTGATGTAATTTCAACCTTGTGTGATGCTAAGTTATGCCAATGCCAGACTAGCTTGTTTGTTGTAAAGCTTAATAAAGGGTTAAGTTAGGCTGGCTGAACGGAGATGTTTTAACAGTAGTTTCACAGCAGTAACAAACAGTGCCGTCATTTAGGGCAAACCTGGCTGGCACCACTAAGGAAGGTCAGGCAGTGGTGGATGTACACTAACTGTGGGTGTGCACAGTGTGCGTTAATTGTGGTCAGACACTTTGTGGTGATGTCGAAGAGTGGGAGGAGCTTGTGGATAGACACCATATTGAATTTTACGAGGATGAAAACAATGCTGTGAAGGATAGACTTACAGTCTTTGCAATGGCACACACTGTAAAATAAGACGCTAGATCATGAAATGTTCACCAAATCACAACTTTCAAAACTTTGAGCTTTTGTCTACTGAACCTTTTTTTTCAGAAAGACGTTTGTCAACTGAACAGCTGGTATGTTGTTAAACAACAACACAATCCATTAAACGCCCTGTACCTCTATCCCTCACAGCCTCATTCCAGTCAAAAATTAAATATGGTGCTACCCTGACTAAGGTCTATTAGAACTTAAATGCAGTTGTCGGGCACAAGCTTAATTCAAAAACTAAAATATAAAATTAAAAAAATTAAAAAATGTATTGAAAAAAGGGCACTTATCTAGTCAGACGCCAAAAGGGTCTATCTGTGCACATGCATGTTGCCAAGTTATTTGTAGTTAGTAGAATGTCTAAAGTGGGCGAAATAAAGTGCAACCAAACAACAACAACAACAACAAAAAAAACCCCTTCTAACAGAGTACACCCAGTGGTGTAGTACAGGGTATAGGCAGGTATACGGTGTATAGCCACTTCTAAATCCCCTCTGATGCATGATTCAGTAGTATCCTGCTTTAGCCAAATCAATACAGCACACGAGTAGCTAATCCAATCTGCATGAGAATACATGCAAATATAAAAAAATAAATAAAAAACCCCCCAGTACAGACAGTGATGTGGTCAGGACCGAGGTGTAAACACTCTCATGCAGTCTATATGTTTCATTCATAGTCAAACTCCAAAACAGACCCACAGAAGTAATAACTTATGACGTGCCAGGAAATCCCTAATATGGACAAAAGTAAACGTTTTGACTGATGATTTTTAAGTCATCTTGAGGTAATAAAAAATAATGCAGTGCTAATTGACATAGGCCTATAGCATTTGTTACAGTTGGCTATAGAAACTATAAAATAAATCTTCAAAGTGGGCGAAATAAAGTGCAACCAAACAACAACAACAACAACAAAAAAAAAACCCTTCTAACAGAGTACACCCAGTGGTGTAGTACAGGGTATAGGCAGGTATACGGTGTATAGCCACTTCTAAATCCCCTCTGATGCATGATTCAGTAGTATCCTGCTTTAGCCAAATCAATACAGTCCAGCACACGAGTAGCTAATCCAATCTGCATGAGAATACATGCAAATATAAAAAAATAAATAAAAAACCCCCCAGTACAGACAGTGATGTGGTCAGGACCGAGGTGTAAACACTCTCATGCAGTCTATATGTTTCATTCATAGTCAAACTCCAAAACAGACCCACAGAAGTAATAACTTATGACGTGCCAGGAAATCCCTAATATGGACAAAAGTAAACGTTTTGACTGATGATTTTTAAGTCATCTTGAGGTAATAAAAAATAATGCAGTGCTAATTGACATAGGCCTATAGCATTTGTTACAGTTGGCTATAGAAACTATAAAATAAATCTTCTGCCTTATTCTGTGATAATAATGGAAAAAGTGTTTGTAGTAAGTTGGCAACACTGCCGTGCATATGAGTCAATGTGATCAAATGCTGACTGACAATTTGTTGTAGAGAATTTGGGATTTATTTTGTCAGTCAATTGCCCATCATGAATAGTTATTCCACTTCCACATCTCTTTATGAATCCCATTTATGAAGTGATGATTAAAAGTAGGCCCAGTGTCCTCACTCAAAATGTATTTCGACAGGATTTCTTGTGCAACATCTATCTAACTTGATACTGGTGACGTCCAGTGTTGCCAGCTTAGCAATTTTGTTGCTAAATTTAGCAACTTTTAGACTACCCATAAATAAATAAAAATGTTAAAAAAAAATGATTAAATTTTTTTTTAAATAAATATATAAAACAGATATTTCTTCCTTTTCCCTAGAGACACATTTAGTATACAAATGAGTTGAAAAGCATAGCGGGGACATTATTTTTCAAAGAATTTATTCATAAAATTTAACAAAATTTCATTATTTTTGTTATTAATTAACACTAAAGACTTTTTTAACAACTCCGTTTCTTTTAAGAATACTTCACATTTAGGTATACAACCCGCAAATTTTTGTTTATGAATGTAATATTTACCATGCGAAATGTAAAAGTTTACAACATATTTAAACATTTTGCTTTTGTGTGTGTAAGAACATATAACATCTTTTAAAGATAATTTACAATTAACATTTCTTGGGGCAAATAGAAAAAAGCTAACATCAGACCAAAATTTCAAAGATAAATCACAGCTGTAAAACAAATGATCCAAGTCTTCCTCGTGTACATTACAAAAACTGCATTTCTTTTCAATATCCATGAATTTTGATAATAAAGATTTACATGGGTAGATTTTGTGGAGTATTTTAAAGTGTACCTCTTTAACTTTATTCAACATGCAAAATGTATATGGATTTAAGTCAAGTCAAGTCACCTTTATTTATATAGCGCTTTTAACAATACAGATTGTGTCAAAGCAACTGAACAGCATTAATTAGGAAAATAGTGTGTCAATAATGCAAAATGACAATAGTAAATACTCAATTTTCAGTTAAAGACAGTTCATCATTGGATTCAGTGATGTTATCATCCAGCTCAGTTCAGTTTAAATAGTATATTTGCAATCATTTGCAACCAAGTCAACGATATCGCTGGAAATGAAGTGTCCCCAACTAAGCAAGCCAGAGGCGACAGCGGCAAGGAACCAAAACTCCATCGGTGACAGAATGGAGAAAAAACCTTGGGAGAAACCAGGCTCAGTCGGGGGGCCAGTTCTCCTCTGACCAGACGAAACCAGCAGTTCAATTCCAGGCTGCAGCAAAGTCACATTGTGCAGAGGACTCATCTGGTTCCTGTGGTCTTGTCCCGGTGGTCGTCTGAGACAAGG